GTTTGAGGATTATGGTGCCTTAGAATTCTTTGACGATCGCTGAACTGATCTCAATTCTAAAATCCTTCTATTTTTGACGATTGTATATGCCCCACTCACTAATAAGTACCCATACTTAGTAATGTCTGAGTTTAGTGAATTTTCCTGAACCCCCTTTTTCTTATCGGTATCGGTGGGATCGTCGAAAATAAGGCAAAAGACACCCTATTGTCTATCGAGAAAATACAACACCATTTCTAGGGTAATTCGGTCAAATTCGAGATAGTTGGCGGAGCTCGGGGTGCAATCTTAGTCTTTAAAACTCAAATTTCGGGTGTTCTTTTGGAATTGAATTGTGAATGTGAAATGATGAAATTTATTTTCTTCGCACCTCTTTGGCACAATGAAATAAAATCTCGTAAAGAGAATAGTCAGAATATATGAAGTGAGCGGATGACCAGTTACATACTGATTCGATTAAGTTCTGAATAATCAGAGATCTTACTTTTCTTTTTTACCCGAAAATCTGAACTAATGAATTTTGTGTTTAACAACTGTGACTCATTATTTACAGAAAGACTCAGAAATATATCGTTTTCTTTTTGACAGAAAATAGAGAGAACGTTCAATTTTTATTGACTTCTTTCGATCCTTGTGTAGTGAAAAGGAACTAATACTGGATCTGCACGAACTTCCCGATAAATATCATAAGGGCTTGGGGTTTTGGTAAAGAAAGATGGACAGTGTGTACTATGATGTAGAATTTGCAAGGTGCGTGTATACATCAGAACTCCAGTGCATTTTTCCCCTTCTGATCGAATAAATATGTTTTCGAACCTTCTCTTTAAAATTCAAAGTGTATGTTCCCAAGCCGCGAATTTTCCAGCAATCACTTGTTCGTGATTCTAACATATTGATATTTTGCAACTAAACAGGAAACCATTCTGTGGCGAATAGTGCCATCGATCCAAAATAAAAATATTATTGTATATTTTTATATCCTAGATCTCAAAAAAACAGTTACCATACAAGTCCTATATAATAGAAAAGCAGGATGTCCCATGAACGTGGTAGCGTAATGGGAAATGAACAAAATCCCATAATCAATAAATTTAGGAGTTTTTCCATTAGAGGGGGGCCTTCGGGCACATGTTCTGACAGGTTAGCCTTTTCGGCCCCCCTGTGATACTCCGCCGTAATTGAAACGTTCTCTAGTGTTAGTCTGAGTACCCGGCTTCCATATGGAATTGGAACCTGCCAAATAAACCTACCTGCGCCCGTTCTCCATTCCCACTAGATCGCCATGAGTAGGACTCTCGACCATAACATAATCGACAGACCAAGACATACTCCTACAAGTAAAGGGGTTCGAATAGCAATATTGTTTGTGGTTCCGAAAGGGTATAATGAATCGATTGGCAATGCGCGAGGGAGTGGCCTTCGAAGTGCGTATATTGTATTTTTGAACGTGGTTACGTACAAATGGCACCTGCAACCAACGAGAACTTGCCATATATATTATGTCTGCTAAGTGACACGACTCCAAACTCTACAAATTGGTTTGAAATAAAAATGCCCCTTCTCAGGTCCGAACACTCGTCTGCCATCATTCGAGGAATCCCACGGAAAGATTCCCTTCCGGGCGTGGTTGCACTAATCCTAGTTCTAAGCACGGGTCGCACGCTGGAACAATTATGTCTGAACTGACTTCAACAAGTCTACGTGTAAGGATCATCACCCAGCATCTGAAATGTTTGCGTCACAGCGAGTATGCCGACAACCCCCTTTCGGGCCTTCCATAGCAAGAAATGCAATATATTCTGTAAAGACAGTCCCTGTGCAACCTATTGCTTTGGAATGGGTACATCAATCATTTGTCCTTGTGGATCCGACATTAATTCCTCGTCAATAATCCTACTAAATGTGGTGTACTTGAGATGCATATTCCCGGCTAGCTCGTCCGAGAGAGAGAGAGCGAGTGTAATAATACATGAACTGGATTAAAGGGTTCCGTCATCCACTAGCAACTAGTCCCAAATTAAGATTCATTTCTTTGTCGCAAAAGTATTCACATTGGTAGCATACCATACCTGCAATAGATGTGGCGTAATTTTTTTTCTACCACGTGTACATTTCCATAATGATAATGTTCTTTCCGATAAAATCTAAATATTTGTTGTTCAGTTTTAAATAAACATCTCTTGGAACTAGCCATTAGTTGCCCTTGAGAAGGTATTGTTAAAGATCATCAATTTTCTCTCGTAATGAAATTGGATAGTTAGCAGGTGGCTTGCCCTGGAACCGCAGAGTCCCTTTACTTGAAATTCGCACAAACGGATGTGTGGGATGTATATTTATATGGCCATTCCAAAATGATTCTATTACATCTGCTTAAGTCGTATTAAATGGAGCAGTACATTTTATTCTAGTCACTTTATGTGTGAAAGACTCAGACCTGGCCCGTTCGATCCATTCAAGCACCTCCATATTCTTCTGTACAAAGATAGGGTCAGACAAATGGATTTGAAGTCAACTGATTGAAATTTCCTTTTCTTGAATCTTGATTCCATGTAGAAATTCAGAATTGGAGCGAGTCGTCCTAGATTGAGCGCAAGAAGATCTGGAATTTACGATAAAGGCGATGTTCATAGAATTACTTTAACTTAGATCCGATTAGATACCATCTGAGCAGGCCTTGACAAACCCTTGGTATAGCTTCCTCGCGATTTCTCGATAAAAAGAAATATGAACCAACAGTAAAGTTCCGAATTGTATTACAAATATATTTCTTTTTTTATATTCTCTGTAACTATTAGATATGTGTTCATAAATCTCATGATAGGTAACTAAAGATTCATAGTGAACTTCGAGGGAGCTTCCTTGAACATAGCCGCGGCTCTGGATGTTGGCTAAAGTTTGCCACGCAAGAAGAGTGCTCACAAAAGTGCTATCTAAATTGTATTTGCTTTTATCCGCGACCGAAAAAGCAGACCATTGGCCATCATAGAAGAATTAAGTAAAAAAAGGTTCTTTTGCGTATATTTATTTTGTTTACGTATCTGTCAATTCTTCAATGTTTGAGAAATTTTCTGGCCGATTACAGTGGATTATCCATCATTTTTGCACAGAGAGTAACACACGTCTCCGATCGCTATCCCCGGCCTTGTTAGAACTAGATGTAATACGATTGCGCTCCAGTAAAGCACTGAAGATCTTACGAGTTGGTACTCGCGGAGATGGGGAATGTCTCACCAATAGCTGGAGCACAACGGAGAGTTCATGTATGAGTAAAAACATAAGTTTAGAATCGAAAGGCTCTTAGTTTGAGCCTCCGTACACCGATAAAGGTATCATGAAGCAGGTCCATTTGATCTCCCATCAAAAGTCTGCATTGAATTCCCTTACAAGACCAAGTGGAAATTGTAAACAAATAACAAGGTTATGGTAACGGCACCGTTTTCATGTGGGCATAAACTATGGTGTGGAACGCCTGTATGTTCCCTAATCTACCGCAGAGTCGTTTTCTGTGGCTGCTTCCTATTCAGTAATACCTCGCGGGAAGTGTCCCTGGGGCA